AATGAAAACCTCTGCAATTTAGTGAATCCAACAAAGGACTTTTTGTGTTTTCAACAAATCTTTGTGCGATGTTACCCACCTGAGAATGAAGGAAAGAGAATCAGGACCGGCTGTCTAAGTAAATATTTTGACTACGTCTAATTGACTTCGCTTCAGTAAATATATTAACAGAAATAACAGAATTTGAGAACTAGTAAGATGAGGTTGAGATGGGAAGTTAGTGTCCGAGCGGATCGAAGTCACGATAGCTCAAGTGGTAGAGTAGCGGCGTATTTAGCCGAAGACCAAGGGTTCGAATCCTGCTCGTTACACTGACTTTGTTATCTCAACCAATACCATTCATTAATATGAATTAATTGAAAAATGTTAATGGTCAACCGGCCTACGAACTGTAATGGATTTATTAGTAAGACTGTTGATACTTTCCTTAGATATGTCTTTAAAAAATTGTTTTAAAATTACCGAATAGCAAATAAATGTTCGTCTCTCTAGCGTATATAACAAGAACCAACTGCCATTTACAAATAATTGTCAAGATAATAGCTATCATAAATTCTCACATAGTTGTGTATGGTTTTGATATGTTTAACTTTTTTTTATCATTTGATGGAGGTTTTTTTCTCTAGACTATAGGCGAATGGTATAACAATTTATATATAATTAATTGTAGTATATACTTAGTTTGTATTCAGTTAAGTATTTGATAAATAAATCTAAAAATGTATTTGACAGCTTAGCACAAAGTTACCTATTGTTAGAAAAGTAAAACAATGGGAAGATGCATTGTAGTGAGAAATATGGTCTAAACTTTAATGGACCCTGGCAATGTGCTGTGAGTCAATCTAACCAAACATTTTGTTGTATTAAAAAAACCGTAACCTTCCTTGCATATTATGATAATTTGGACTAAGAATGTTTAAACTTTGAAAAATAGAAGTTAGTTAAAATTTACTGAATTCAAAAATTATATTTCAGGAGCGAGCGCCTTTTACCAACTTAGTATTCGCCTGTAAACTATTTCATACCTCTTTTACATGATTTTAACATAAAGATATACTAAAAATATATTAATTTGAATAATGATAATATTAAGTTGAACTTGAAGATAACATCCAAGAAGAAGGATATATATTATTCTTAAAACTTGCTTACATTTAATTTGTGGAGCCTAATTTTTATTTAGACATTTTCATCCTTTACGTTGGCAAATTCTTTATGCTATTTTGTACGATTAAATAAGGGAAAATTATGCCATTACTATGTGCCCACAATTCCTTACTTTTCACTTATGCTGAAATTTTATAAATACTGTATCGATGTTAGTGATTTTTAATCCATGATATAGTGTCCCTACTCCATCAATCCTACAACTATTTTTCCACTCCTAACACCGCTAATATTATTGGCTATAAAATATCATTTTTTCTACAAGTCGAAAATATTATTCATAGTATAACATTTGTAATATATATTTTTGTCATCGACCTGTACATTTATTGTAAAACATATTTTTCATAAGACTGTTCAATACACTATTTTCATTCAGTGACTTGATATTTACACGTTTTTAACAGCCAATTCTCACAAATATGATGGGTGAAATGCTATTAAAAAAAGAGAGTTAAATTGGTTGAAAAAATGGTTAATTTGGATCAAAAAATTATTAATTTGGAAAAAAATGGAAAAATTTGTTATCAAAATGGGTTAATTTTGTTATCAAAAGAATTAATTTGGCTCAGGGTGCCGGTGTTTTTGAAAAAAGCCCATTTATACGTATGTCGGGTTCGAATGCAGGGCCGCTGGGTTCGAACCCGGGACCTTTACCATACAATGATGAGCCCAGTGTCAACGCCTAAATCGTTGCGGCCACCATAAGTCATTAAGTGATTTTTTCAGTAAAAACGAAACAATTATTTATTGCAAAATGGAAAAAAATAGGCTCGGTCAAATAAATAATTAAATATAGAAGAGACAGGAATGCAGTCGACATGATTAAATTATAGCCGTCATCAAATGTTGAAGAATTCCTCCCCAACTGCCAAGGGCTAATCTCTGTTCTCTAAAGGTATAATATTTACATTCAATAATGACAGCACATAAGGAACAATAAGACCAAATAACACTGCAGTCGTTCAAAGGAAATTATATTGTATTATTGTTTTGACAGTTGTTTTAATTTTTTTATGATTAGTTGTGAGTCTTGCAGATTAGAAGTACGATTTTGTTTCATACAGAAAGCCCACTTAAAATTAAAAATGATCAAAAAATGAAAAAAATAACTTATCAGAAATAGTTTTATACAAATTTTCCACACGATGGTTTTTCTTCCATATTTCAACAATATTTATTCCACATCATGATATACTTGACAAGAAACGCAGGCATTCTACACGAATTGAATATCCTCTCAAATATCTTCTCGAAAAACTCCACGACATGATTTAATTACATTAAAAGAATTACAAAATTTTCTGGGAGAAATTTCTATTACTTTACGTCCATATGAAAGTTGTATTCACGGCCTCATATTTTATGTTGATATGGAAGTTCTCAACAATTAAAATGATTTATAAGTCAAATAAACTGTCTGTTCTTTCAGGTTCGTATAGGCCCATTAGTCTCCTTTCTATCCTTGCCAAAGTACTAGAAAAAATTCTCCGACGATTATGCCTATAACTGAAAATTTCATTATTATTCCAGATCATCAGTTTGGAATTCGCTCATTTCACTCAACGGTTCAACAAATTGCATCGTGTTGCAGACAATATCGCTTCTTCCCTCGAAGAAAAACAGCATTGATTTGGTGTCTTTCTGGATTTAGAATAGACTTTCGATCGAGTCTGGCACCGGGACTGGTTTTGAAAACTGAACAACATCCTCCCTCATGCATACTATCTCTAACTAAGATCTCATCTGTTGGACCGATTTTGCCTAGTCCGCCAAGGTCTTGCCAAAATACCAGAAAAACTACTTCTCCAACGATTATTGCCTAAAACTAAAAATTCCAATATTATTCCAGACTCAAATTTTGCATCGTGTTGCTAAGAAAATCGCTTCATCCCTTGAACAAAAACAGGATAGCGTGGTCGTCCTTCTCGATTTAAAATAGGCCTTTGATCGAGTCTTCACTCTCTCTTGCTTTGAAAACTGAATATCCTCCCTCATATGTACTATCTAATACTGAGATTTTATCTGATAGTACGATTTTGCCTAGTTCGACAGCGAACTGAATTCTCACCTTATACTGGCACTAGGGCGGGTATTCCGGGTGTTCCTCAGGGATGCACACTTGGCCTATTTCTATTTCCAATATATACTGCAGATATTCCTACACATTTCAACACCTATATTCGCTGGTCATATAGAGATTCTTATACGTAATTCGGACCCCTCAAATAACTCTCAACACATACATCAACCTCTGAATGAATTAACAGTATGATTCACAAAGTCTAGATAAATCTAAGAAAAAGCGTCCAGATAAATTATACTCGCCTTTAAAGTCACCGCTTTGCAATGAGTATATATAGAAGCCCCTTTCCTACCACTGACTTTGCATTTTATCTTAAACTTTTCATGGATAAACGACTCAGTTGGAATCCCAACATATGACTGAATAAGATCATAAACTTCCTATGTTATAGATTATTAAAAAGTCTACTTGATTCACGATAGAAATTAGACACTGACAATAAACTTTTAAATTTACAAAGCAACAATAAAACCTCTCTTGGCATACAAATGGGGGATCAAACAAGGATTCGAAATCCCAACGTATCCAATCAATTCTGTCTAACATTAGTAATTTTTTTATAAATGCTCCTTTTCAGGTTTCAAAATACACTATCCACACACATCCCGTTTGCACATGACCTCGTGAAAACCCTCTATAAAAATTTTAACAATCATTAAGCATCCACAACAATCTTGCAGAAAAATAATCCCTTCCAAGGCTACCATAAAATACTTCAAGATGATTGAAGCGAAAGTGGTCCCGAGACATTCTCAGTGAATGACCAATGGCGAGGTTTCAGTTCGAAGTAGAGAGTTGTCATTGGGGAACTGCTCCACAAATTACTCTATTACCAAAAATCGAAAATATTTACTTAATACAATATTTTAAGTTGTAAACAACAAAGAATGTAATGAAAAAATAAAAAAATGATGTTTTGTACACACGCGAATAACAATCATGTAATTCTTACTATTATTCTAAATAATAACTAAGGATAAATACGATGAAATAATCAGAATTGATCAAGGTTAAGAAATAATAATTGAAGACAGGAATGGTGGAAGGTTTCACATAGGAAAATGGAACTTTTCTGTGAGAACACAAGTGGCAAATTTTTAAAACTCGTTATGCCCACATCAAGTACTTCATTCCGCTTTTAACCAACGATAAAAGTTTTGAACTAGCACTGCTTCAGCACACCGCCCTTTTGACGGTTCTTTATTTCATTTGATCCCATGACAGTGCTCTATTCCAATTGTCATAATGATAAATGATCGTATAACAATGAAATCGGTCTGTACATTAGAGGTTGTGTGCTGCCCAAAAGGGCAAAAACCACAGTTAATGACGTCAATAGGGCTTACAATCGGTAGGCAGGTACTGCAAGCTTACTCTGCATAGGATGAAACATTAATAATATAAAGGAAGAATATAATATTTAAAAAAAGTAGGAAACCGAAATGAAATTTAAGACAAGTAAGTATATAACGATATAAAACTGTTTGAAAACCTGAATGGCCAGGCAGTTCGTAAAACAATGAAAAAAATATTTAGTTAATTTAAAAATAATTTAAGTGTTCAATTTATTCTATATCCGTTGCTGATTACTTATTTTTTCAATTAGTCTCTTTCTTAAATATCTAATATTCTGCGTCTAAATTAAATAATAATTATTTTAAATAAATAAACGTATAAAAATCGGTTTTAAGAGTATTTTCTCAACGTTTCTGACTAATTTTATCTCGTAAAATTTGCAATTGTTAACCATTTAATGCACCTGTCGGTCCGATGTCGTGATGACAAGAAGAAGCAGGCGTCCACAGATCACACAGTTCACTCACTCGCGTTTTCACAGGATTTCAATATCGTGGGAACAATACGATTTTACTGAAATGATCACAGGGATCGCGGAGCGGCTCGGACGGGTGAGATCCACCTTCGGCCAAGTTGGCTTCACTTCTGCGGGCGCGGGGGTGGTCGATTGTTGCGCGCGCAAACCCTCCCGCCCCCGCCCGCCGACAGGACCTTAATTTTAATATGAATGTACCTTGCAATAAGCTTGATGTACTCGTTTTAACGTGGGCCGCGTTCCCGGATCCGTCTTACGGACGTGCAAGCGTCTACTGCGTTGATTCCGTTTTCAGTGGAATAAAACTTCCGTATAAATATCAGAACTCATAGAGTTCTCTTTCCGCAAAACAATGTCATACGCCTCTACAGATATCTTTCTTGGATTACAAATGCCTCCATACATATAAATCTTGGATTACTTACTACTTATTACATAGAATGTACCTCGCCCTGTAAGAGCTATTGTATTCCCTGTGCTGTAACCTACAGTACACTGGTGAGTTCTAATTCAACAAAGCATTTTATGTCCAGATGCATTTCACCGCTTGTCCGTACCCCCTCTGAATTTAGGCTCAAAAGGCTATAATCTTTAACAAGAATATTTCAGCCCCGAACGCATGGAGTTTAACATAAACACCACATCCCCTCGAGTAGTTTAATAGATACTCCACATTCTTTTTGACATATATATTGTAAATAACTACTTATACTCTAACTATTGTACTTCAGGGGTACTTGAAATTACGCAATCGTGGCTCTTGTTCACGTTCAGGCTTATAAACACATTCTCATGAAACAGGTAAAACATCTAAACTATGGTTAGTATATATACAGTAATTTCCCAATTTAACAAAACTTCTATAATTAAACATAGATTAATAAAATCTTTGATGACACACCTTTTAACAATACCTGAATGATTTTCAGAGAACAGTGATTGTTTTCTCTCTTTTTCAACATGTTTGTTCAACGCGATATTCTTTTTCTTCGTAATAAAGGCAAAATCAGCAATGTTGCTTGTTCCTAATTTTTAGTGTTGTTATATATTTCATTCCATAACATTTCAGTGAAAATTCTCGCTTGTATGTTCCTTATTATATAGAATTATATTTCTGAAAATAATCTAGAGGGTAGTTTTTATTAAACAAGACATCTGTATTGACGTTCATCCCTCATTTAACATTATTCAATAAAAATGTTACAATTTAATGATGTTAAAAATAAATTTACTAAAATTTACTGTTCTAGTTTAAAAAAAATATACTCAGATTTGTCATTGCTTACCTAAGTGAAATATTATTACTTATTAAATATTAAAATATTATTACTTACTTTGTTTTATTAACTTTGTATTCGAAATTTCAAAGATAATTTGAATAGCGATTTTGTAAATTGATCTGAAAATCGTTAAGTCTTACCTCGTTCATGAACCATGTTGACCCTCGAGATATACACTATATTCTATAAAATATGGAAAGAAGTGCCAATAAAATAAAAAAATTGTTCACAATCTGTTATCTACTTGGTTTATTTATAAGAGATATTTATTTTTTATTTTTTTTATTTTTTTATTTTTTCAAAAACACCGTCACAGCAAGCAATAATTCTGATGTCAAAGCATTTCGGAGGTACGATCTGTAAGAACTAAGAGCTTGCAGTACGAGCGAAGAGCAGCTGGAGGGGCAAACGGGGTAAATCACTTGCCAAGGACTGAGTGGTGGTATGTATAAAATCCAAAATTGAGCGGTAATCGCCGAAGAGTTGGTATCAGATTGGTGGGGATGTAGTAACTCTTTTTTCAGAGTGGTTCGTTGCACGCTCAGTAAAGTGAGTTAACTCTTTTGATCAGCTCGCGAGCGGAGCCCCATCTCTAGTTTGAAACTAATAATATGATTTCATATACTTTGTCATTGTGTAACAGTGTATCTTGGAAAATTAAATCAGTATAACTTCTTCTATTTGAGAGAGTTACAAAAGAGATTAATATTTGATGGGACGTCCTCTTTTAACAGCAATAACGCGTAAAAAATATTTTGCACGTTTTGTATGGTATGCGTATGATTTAGAGAGGAGAGAAACCAAAGAATTAAAGCGTTCCAGTTCCAGCGTGCCTGGTAAGAAAGCTTAAAATGTTAATTATTTATTATTTATACAAATTATGAAACTTTCATATGAATGTGAAGAGACAAATATCACATCAAAATCATTACAACTGTTGATTAAGGATAACTCAGTGTTAAGTATTGTGTAATGTTGAGTTAAAAGTTTTAATAATAACGCATTACAATGGAGTTGGATTGATTTATGTTTCGCCTGTTATTTTTGAAATAACTGTGCTATGTATTCGTATGCATAGCCTTAGTCTTTATTCTAAACAGCAAAAAGCTATTGCATTAATTACCACAAATGGCACAGCATTAATACCGGGAAAGACACAAAAGTGTCCTTTTGGTTTAGGAATCCTGTCGCTCACTTACTTTATGGAAATACTAACGACATGCAAAAATCTTGTCTTAAATGTGCAAAGATATTAAAATTCTTTCTTTTACATTTCGACCGATACATTTCAATGTGTACAGTGATCAAAACGCTTCAAGTCAATATCACCTCCAACTTTGCTCGGACAGATTTGCAATTTGGAACAATCAGATGAATAAGTTTTTCCTACGGCCGATGGGATTATGTCGGATAGGATGGCTCGTTCAATATCGAGATAAAGCTTACACATAACACATTAAACAATTCTAATTTTTATTACTTCCCACAAATCGCTAGAAGGAATGTTCTATGTTCACCCAAATCCCAAGTAAATCTCATTACAAAATTTATCTGTTCAGTTATTTAATTAGACATGGGTTATTGAAAACTGATTTTTTTCATAGAGGGTGGTATTTCTTAGGAGAATATTAGTTTTAGCGTTGTTTTTATAACTGAGCCAGATTTATCTGATAATTAGATTTAATTGTAAAAAAATCAATAATTTTTACTTTTATTAGAATGTTAATTATATAGCTTTACATGATTTATTTTTTATCGAGAACGACAGAATTGATTAACAATTGTCTTTAGCACAAGAAAATTCCATTGGCTTGGTTTTTAGACCATTTATTGGTATTGATTTTTTAATTAATTAATTTTTTAGTAAAAGGTAGGAGTTAATGTTAATTAAAAAGTGGTTGATTTAAGAAAACCGTTTATAATACATGATATAATAAACTAATCATACTTATTGCCATAAAGTTTACTTTAATTCTAATACCTATAATAAATGTATAAGAGTTTTTGTACTATAGATATAGAAGTTATCCTGTGTAATAAAGCTTTATAAAACTCATTCTCTTCCCCGGAAGATAATAAAAGATGAATAAATCAAAATTTTCTATAATTAAACTAATTACGCCTCGATTGTGGAAACAATAGAAATGTGTAAAAGACTTTTAATTTCGAATACAATTTAAATGACACCACGTGCTGTAAAAGAAGAAAAATGGACCCGAATTAATATTTATTCATATTATTCACCGGACAACAGCCCTCGTTTTATATTTATGCTCGGCTTGACCTCTAGAAACTTAAATGAAACAGAACAATGAAATTTGAAATTTTAACACGTACGAACCCAAAATAGAAAAAAAGCAACAACAATTAATAAACAAAAATAACAAAAATGAGTGATTAATTTTAATTATCCTGTTAACCGTTAGAGTAAAATTCCAGAAAACACAGTTACAAATGAAAAGTGTGCAGAAAATTAGTGTATTACATATATTTACTGCTAATTATTTACATAATTTTCGGTTAAAATATAATAGGAACTGTTTTCTAGATGAGAAAATGTTTGTTGATGCATTGTCACGTGTCACGTAAGTTGAAAGGCCTGCATAATGCCTGAATCATGAAATGGACAGGAACAAACCTCTATCGCTCGTATCACCAACGATCTAACCCAACCTTGACCCACCTAAATTATTCGTCGATCAAATTTCGGCCGAGCCGGTGGAAAATTAACGTTGCCAATTTGTAAAATGCATTTATTTTATTGACACGTATGTACGTCAGGCAACAAATTCAAAATCTTCTTTTTTATTCTAAGTATAATTCACTAGTTTGGTGGTCCGCTTCATCAATATATATCTTTCAATTAATTAAGATTTTTTGTTGAGATAAAAAAGTCAGTGTCACGAGCGGGATTCGAACCCACGATCATCGGCTAGATACGCCGCTGCTCTACCATTTGAGCTATCGTGACCTCGATCCACTCGGACACTAACTTCTCATCTCATCCCCACATTGCTGAAATGTTTATACAGCACCTGATGACATAATAGGAAATGCTAATTAAGTCTTTAAACGACTTATATTTTTGATAACATTTTGAACAAATTAGCTGTGCCATTTACACATAGATTAACTACATAAGCTAGCCCAAATATATCTAAGGTTAAAAATAGGTTTATACAAAAATTTAATTTAATTTTTAACTTTAGCTGTTACGCCTGTTACTGAGTTCACCATCTCGATTTTGGGACCCCCCCAAAAAAAAATCTTAGTTTCAACGTTAGGGGTCGCAAAATTTCCAATGTTGTGTATGGTGTACCTCTACCGAGTCAGTAACCATTACTAACCTAGGAGATAGTGATGAAAGTCATCCAGTAAGGTTGGACGCCTGGATCGGGAGCTGAAGCAGGGAAGGCCGCGCAAAACGTTGGCGGACTTGTGGGAGCAGACAAGACAAAAGCGGGCATGGAAGGCGAGCGAGACATGAGCGATGAGAGAGAATGCCAAATAAAGGAAAAACGAGGAAACCAGAGATGTCCTGCTTTTTCAGAGTCGGAAACTCCTTCCTCATCCTGGGCAGAACGATAGAAACAGAGAACACCCTGGCAGAATCCAGGAGGCCGGACTACGTGACGATGCTCACCGTCGAGGTCCAACATGCGGAAACAATTAGTTTTCATTTAAACATTTTATCAGTGTTTTTGAGATTTTCTAAACCAGTAGGAACCGTTCATTTTCCTTTTTTTTTGGAGAGGATACTTCAGGCATTTATAATTTTATTAATTTAAATTGTAATTTCGACTCCTGACAAATGCA